GGCGCGTTGTCGTTCACGTCCAGCACCCGCAGCGCCAGCACCGCGCTGCTCCACAGCGCCGGCGACCCGCCGTCCGCCGCCCGCACCGTCACGTTGTACTCCGCCACCTCCTCCCGGTCCAGCTCCCTCGCCGTCACCACGCGGTAGTAGTCCTCGAAGGACTTCTCCAGCCGGAACGGGAGGCGCTCGGCGATGCTGCACCGCACCTCGCCGTTCGCCCCGGAGTCCCTATCGTGGACGTTGAAAATTGCTATGACTGTCCCCAGCGGTGTATCTTCTGGGACCGGACTGAATACAGACATAATGACAATCTCGGGGACGTGGTTGTTCACATCAGAGACCTTGATGAGAACCTTGCTGTGAGACGAGAGTCCGCCCGTGTCCCGGGCTTGCACATCCAATTCGTAAAACTCCTGTTCCTCGAAATTCAGCTTCTCTGTTATCTCAATTTCTCCACTTTCCGGATCCAGCTTAAAAGTCTTGTCGACCTTCTCCGGTATTTTAATGAACGAGTACTTCACCTTGGCGTTTGGCCCCTCGTCTCTGTCAGTCGCTGTCACCTGCAACACCCGACTTCCCACTGCTACGTCTTCTCTCACAGTCACCTTATAAACGGGCTGAGTAAATTGCGGAGCGTTGTCATTTCCGTCTAACACAATGATTTGGATTGTTGTCGATCCCGATTTCACAGGACTCCCCCCGTCTGTGGCTGTCAGGATCAAATTATGAGCAGCCTGCTGTTCTCGATCCAAAGAATTCACCAGTATTAATTCCGGATATGTCACACCGTCATCTCCGTTTTTCACGTCCAAGGAGAAATAGCTGCTCTCGCTACACTTGTAATTCTGTAAAGAGTTCACTCCTATGTCGGGATCTTGAGCTTTCTCCAACGGGAAACGCGTGCCTGGTGCAGTATACTCGCTGATTTCTAAGACGCTGTTCCTTACCGGGAAGCTCGGCGAATTATCATTAATATCCAGTATTTCTACCTCCCCTCTGTAAAGCTTTATTGGATTTTTTACAAGAATCTCAAAATTTAGAGCGCACTTAGCAACAGCTGCGCATATGTCCTCTCTGTCCACCCGCTCCTTGATAGATAAGTGGCCGTTTTGCA